GGACACTCACTCACACCTGTGTTCAGATTCAACATTCTATCAGGGACACTCACTCATGCCTGTGTTCAGATTCAACATTCTATCAGGGACACTCACTCACGCCTGTGTTCAGATTCAACATTCTATCAGGGACACTCACACAAACACCTGTGTTCAGATTCAACATTCTATCAGGGACACTCACTCACGCCTGTGTTCAGATTCAACATTCTATCAGGGACACTCACTCATGCCCTGTGTTCAGATTCAACATTCTATCAGGGACACTCACACCACCTGTGTTCAGATTCAACATTCTATCAGGGACACTCACTCACACACCTGTGTTCAGATTCAACATTCTATCAGGACACTCACTCATACCCTGTGTTCAGATTCAACATTCTATCAGGGACACTCACTCATGCCTGTGTTCAGATTCAACATTCTATCAGGGACACTCACTCACACCTGTGTTCAGATTCAACATTCTATCAGGGACTCTCACTCACGCCTGTGTTCAGATTCAACATTCTATCAGGGACACTCACTCATGCCTGTGTTCAGATTCAACATTCTATCAGGGACACTCACTCATGCCTGTGTTCAGATTCAACACTCTATCAGGGACACTCACTCACTGTGTGTTCAGATTCAACATTCTATCAGGGACACTCACTCACTGTGTTCAGATTCAACATTCTATCAGGGACACTCACTCACGCCTGTGTTCAGATTCAACATTCTATCAGGGACACTCACTCACGCCTGTGTTAAGATTCAACATTCTATCAGGGACACTCACTCATGCCTGTGTTCAGATTCAACATTCTATCAGGGACACTCACTCATGCCTGTGTTCAGATTCAACGCTCTATCAGGGACACTCACTCACGCCTGTGTTCAGATTCAACACTCTATCAGGGACACTCACTCACGCCTGTGTTCAGATTCAACATTCAATCAGAGACACTCACTCACGCCTGTGTTCAGATTCAACATTCAATCAGAGACACTCACACACACCTGTGTTCAGATTCAACATTCTATCCGGGCCACTCACACACACCTGTGTGCAGATTCAACATTCTATCAGGGACACTCACGCACACCTGTGTTCAGATTCAACATTCTATCAGGGACACTCACTCACGCCTGTGTTCAGATTCAACATTCTATCAGAGACACTCACAAACACCTGTGTTCAGATTCAACATTCTATCAGGGACACTCACTCACTGTGTTCAGATTCAACATTCTATCAGGGACACTCACTCACTGTGTTCAGATTCAACATTCTATCAGGGACACTCACTCACGCCTGTGTTCAGATTCAACATTCTATCAGGGACACTCACTCATGCCTGTGTTCAGATTCAACATTCTATCAGGGACACTCACTCACGCCTGTGTTCAGATTCAACACTCTATCAGGGACACTCACTCACGCCTGTGTTCAGATTCAACATTCTATCAGGGACACTCACTCACGCCTGTGTTCAGATTCAACATTCTATCAGAGACACTCACAAACACCTGTGTTCAGATTCAACATTCTATCAGGGACACTCACTCACGCCTGTGTTCAGATTCAACATTCTATCAGGGACACTCACTCACGCCTGTGTTCAGATTCAACATTCTATCAGGGACACTCACTCACGCCTGTGTTCAGATTCAACATTCTATCAGGGACACTCACTCATGCCTGTGTTCAGATTCAACATTCTATCAGGGACACTCACTCCGCCTGTGTTCAGATTCAACATTCTATCAGGGACACTCACTCCGCGCTGTGTTCAGATTCAACATTCTATCAGGGACACTCACGCACACCTGTGTTCAGATTCAACATTCTATCAGAGACACTCACTCACGCCTGTGTTCAGATTCAACATTCTATCAGGGACACTCACTCATGCCTGTGTTTAGATTCAACACTCTATCAGGGACACTCACTCACGCCTGTGTTCAGATTCAACATTCTATCAGGGACACTCACTCACGCCTGTGTTCAGATTCAACATTCAATCAGAGACACTCACTCACGCCTGTGTTCAGATTCAACATTCTATCAGGGACACTCACTCATGCCTGTGTTCAGATTCAACACTCTATCAGGGACACTCACTCACGCCTGTGTTCAGATTCAACAATTCTATCAGGGACACTCACTCACGCCTGTGTTCAGATTCAACATTCTATCAGGGACACTCACTCACGCCTGTGTTCAGATTCAACATTCTATCAGGGACACTCACTCACGCCTGTGTTCAGATTCAACATTCTATCAGGGACACTCACTCATGCCTGTGTTCAGATTCAACATTCTATCAGGGACACTCACTCACGCCTGTGTTCAGATTCAACGCTCTATCAGGGACACTCACTCACGCCTGTGTTCAGATTCAACACTCTATCAGGGACACTCACTCACGCCTGTGTTCAGATTCAACATTCAATCAGAGACACTCACTCACGCCTGTGTTCAGATTCAACATTCAATCAGAGACACTCACTCACGCCTGTGTTCAGATTCAACATTCAATCAGAGACACTCACATAGGCTGTGATTCAGATTCAACATTCTATTAGGGACACTCGACACACCTGTGTTCAGAGATGACACAACTTTATGGATGATCAACTTCTTTATTTTAACAATAGCGACGTGTTGCTATAGGTTCTTATACCGTTTTCAAGCATATGGGGGAATGATGGGGTACACCAGTTTATATACAAGATAAGATAATGCGATAACAATGGTGGGGAAACAAAGCATCAAAGAAAGTTACATGATGAGCTACAATGACATGATGATGAGCTGAGGATAACAAAATGAGATGAGTGGGATTACCATGAGAATTAGTGAATGTAAGTAAATTAGGCAGAAGCCAAGGTGGTGGGGGGATTAATTAGTGAGAAGCCAGTGGTGAGGAATGTGAGTACGAAGGTTGATGAGAAGCCAGAGTGGGTTGAGTGGTTAATTATTTGTGGATTAGGTTGTTGTAAGCTGTGGGGATGTAATAGCCTTGATCTCTGTTAATAGAGGGATTAAAACGGCGTCTTTGTAATGCTTCGGCCAATTTGTGTCATCTCTATACCAGCAACTTCTAAAATGCCACTCAAACAACCTGTGATCATATTCAACATTCTATCAGGGACATTCACATAGGCTGTGATTCAGATTCAACATTCAATCAGGGACATTCACATAGGCTGTGATTCAGATCCAACATTCCATTAGGGACATTCACATAGGCTGTGATTCAGATCCAACATTCTATAAGGGACATTCACATAGGCTGTGATTCAGATCCAACATTCTATAAGGGACATTCACATAGGCTGTGATTCAGATTCAACATTCTTTAAGGGACATTCACATAGGCTGTGATTCAGATTCAAAATTCTATAAGGGACATTCACATAGGCTGTGATTCAGATTCAACATTCTATAAGGGACATTCACATAGGCTGTGATTCAGATTCAACATTCTATAAGGGACATTCACATAGGCTGTGATTCAGATTCAACATTCTATAAGGGACATTCACATAGGCTGTGATTCAGATCCAAAATTCTATCAGGGACATTCACAAAGGCTGTGATTCAGATCCAAAATTCTATAAGGGACATTCACATAGGCTGTGATTCAGATCCAACATTCTATAAGGGACATTCACAAAGGCTGTGATTCAGATTCAACATTCAATCAGGGACATTCACAAAGGCTGTGATTCAGATCCAACATTCTATCAGGGACATTCACATAGGCTGTGATTCAGATCCAACATTCTATAAGGGACATTCACATAGGCTGTGATTCAGATTCAACATTCTATAAGGGACATTCACATAGGCTGTGATTCAGATCCAACATTCTATCAGGGACATTCACAAAGGCTGTGATTCAGATTCAACATTCTATAAGGGACATTCACATAGGCTGTGATTCAGATTCAACATTCTATAAGGGACATTCACATAGGCTGTGATTCAGATTCAACATTCTATAAGGGACATTCACATAGGCTGTGATTCAGATCCAAAATTCTATCAGGGACATTCACAAAGGCTGTGATTCAGATCCAAAATTCTATAAGGGACATTCACATAGGCTGTGATTCAGATCCAACATTCTATAAGGGACATTCACAAAGGCTGTGATTCAGATTCAACATTCAATCAGGGACATTCACAAAGGCTGTGATTCAGATCCAACATTCTATCAGGGACATTCACATAGGCTGTGATTCAGATCCAACATTCTATAAGGGACATTCACATAGGCTGTGATTCAGATTCAACATTCTATAAGGGACATTCACATAGGCTGTGATTCAGATCCAACATTCTATCAGGGACATTCACAAAGGCTGTGATTCAGATCCAACATTCTATAAGGGACATTCACATAGGCTGTGATTCAGATCCAACATTCTATAAGGGACATTCACATAGGCTGTGATCAGATTCAACATTCTATAAGGGACATTCACATAGGCTGTGATTCAGATCCAACATTCTATCAGGGACATTCACAAAGGCTGTGATTCAGATCCAAAATTCTATAAGGGACATTCACATAGGCTGTGATTCAGATTCAACATTCTATAAGGGACATTCACATAGGCTGTGATTCAGATTCAACATTCTATAAGGGACATTCACATAGGCTGTGATTCAGATTCAACATTCTATAAGGGACATTCACATAGGCTGTGATTCAGATCCAACATTCTATCAGGGACATTCACAAAGGCTGTGATTCAGATCCAAAATTCTATAAGGGACATTCACATAGGCTGAGAATCAATCTCTGGTTAACTTCAGCCAAGTCAGACTACCCCTTTAGCATATCAGTAAATTTGAAGTTTTTGAGTGAAGTTTTGTGTGGATTTGACACATGTATCAAAAGGCTGAGGTGTGTGATGCCTCTGTAAAAGCTCAGTGTTCCCATTGGGCATGGTGGGTTAAAATGTCCTGTTTACTTATTCATTCCACAAAAATAACCTACATGTGAAAGATGTGATGAGTTCTAGGCAAAGTTCCTCTTCCCTACTGTATTGAGTGTCTTCTCCATCCTGATCCCCGATGTTCTTCTGTGCATGGCTGAGAGTGAACACAATAATTGCCACCATCTGCAGCAGCACAGTACTTGTAAGGCTCTGTGATGTCACATGCGACGGTAGGCTTGTTAACAAGTGATCCCGTAGACTCTGTGCTTTGTTAAGATCTGCCAAATAGAAGAAAACAATAATAAACAGTACAGCTTATGCACAGCCAGAAGCTTTATTTTTTATCTTATATTTTAGACATACATGTATTTACATCTAAACTTGAAGTATAAAAGCTAAAATTATTTATGATTTTCTTTATACCAGCTTTTGGTTTGAGACATGATAAAGAACAGAAAGTATGACTATGAGTTGAAAAGGGTTAAAAAACATCCACCATAAACATATCCTTAACCAAAGAAGTCCATGTAATATTTTATCTTGATTACTGTTTCTGGATTTGACTCCCAACAAAACCACCTTTGATAACACATATAGTGTAAACATATTTTATTCAAAATAAATTGAACTAGGATTGGAAACAAGCCGTAATGGCTTATTTGAATACCTCTCCATTTCATTGATACATGAATAAAACAAATATTAAATAAAATGCAGCATGATATGAAAGCAAGCAACCTGCGTATTAAACATTATTAATCATTTATCAAACCTATGCGATTTTATTATATAAGTATGGACAGATTGTAGTATGAGAGAATTTACAAGTACATTTTTGTTTGGATTTCCATTTAGGACAGAATTTAAATTATATCCATGTTCGTAAAAATACATGCGATGTCTGATGTTAGTATAATTAGGACACGTAAAGAAGTAATGTAAAGTATCCTCATAGGGGTGACCACAGGGACAGAATGGATCAACTGAAATGTGCCGTTCAAACATGTGAGCTTTCAAATTACTGCACCCAAGTCTGAAGCGTGAGTGGATAATTTTGCAGAAACGTGTACCAAAGTTTTTATCAAATATATTAAAATTGGGTGGTTTTGATGATTGGAATGCATTTTTGAATTGGCCTATGGTTTCAATATCGTACATATTCTCAGGCAAATCATTCCATTGTCGTATTGTATCAGGTAAAAACGAGTTGCTATACAAATCACTACGACATCTTATAGTTTGAATGTTATTATTGTTTCTTAATCTATGGTCACTAAACTGTGATACTTTTTCGGACAGTAGATCAGTTAAATAAACTGGTGTCATATGATGAACCATTTTGTAAAATAATGATAACTTGCTAATTTGTCTACGGTCAACTAGGGGCATAGAGTTAGTTTCCTCATATTTTAAATCATGACTTGTTCCTCTAACTGCCCCACAAATCATTCCGATAGTCGCCTAAATGTAGATTTTCGACAAGTTTTTCTTGTTCTTTAGTACAGTTATCCCAAAGGTGCGAACAGTAATCGAACGTTGGTAATATATATGACTTGTACATTTGCTCTAATGATTTTCTAGATAATCTATATTTAAAACTACGTGAGACAATTTACCAATGGATCTAACCTTTTAACTAATTCACCAATGTGGGAGTTCCATTTACAGTCTGATTGCAAGGTTACTCCTAGGTGTTTATGGTAGCCGACTTCAGTAATGTCTACTCCATGCATTTTAAGCTTAGGAATTGGAAATTGATTACCGGTATTTCTGCAAAGTGAATAAAACAGCTTCAGTCTTACCAGGATTAAAGCTAACCTGCCATATTTCAGCCCAGTGAGAGATCCTGTTTAGGTCATTATTTAAGGAAGCGGCGGTAACAACATGATTATCAACAATAACATATACCAAGTATCATTGGCAAAAGATCGAATGTTACTACTGATACCCTCAATGATATCATTTATGTAAACTAAAAACAGTAATGGCCCAAGGACAGATCCTTGTGGCACCCCAGCAGTGACGTTCTTTAGATCTAAATTGTAATTGTCTATAGCTACTCTCTGTAATCTATTGTCAAGATAACTGGAAAACCAATCAAGTAACTTACCCTTAATACCATAAGCTTCTAATTTCGCTATGATTCCCTTATGCCAAACCTTGTCAAAAGCCTTGCTTATGTCACAGAAAACTGCCCTGACTTCTTTGCCATTGTCTAATGCATGTAGCATAAAATCATACAAGTATGTCAGTTGGTATACAGTTCCATCCCCAGGCATGAATCCTGACTGCAAATTCGTTAATACGTTATTATCTAAAAAAAAGTTAAACACATGTTTAAAAATACATTTCTCAAATACCTTTGATAAACAGCTGGTAAGAGCAACTGGTCTATAGTTTTACATTCATTAAAACTACCTTTTTATGAATAGGAGTGACAATAGCTTCCTTCCATATTGTTGGGAATTTACAATATTCTAGGGATAAATTGAATAGATTAGTAAGAGGAGTACAAAGGGATGGCACGATCATTTTGATAAATCTGTTACCTATTTTGTCTGGTCCACTGGCTTTGGAAATATCAACTGATAATAGGATGTCTTTTACTTCTTGTGTACTCAATACAATAGACGCAAGTGGAGTCTTTACTTTACATTCAAGTGTAGGAGTCTCCTTATCAGGATAATCAACTTGTGCGTGGTCAGCAAAATATTCATTAAATATATTTGCTTTATCTTTACTATCATTGATCAGATTATTCTTATGAATAATCGAAGGAAATTTCTTATAATCTCCATTTTTGGATTTTATATACTTATTCACTAAAGCCCACCAAAATTTAGAATTACTCCCCTGATTGATCTTATCATCTAAATCAGAAATATATTTCAATTTGTCTGCTCTCACGGCTGCTGTTACTTTGTTCCGTAAAAGCCTAAAGTTTTGCCAGTCTTTATCATAATTTCGAGTCTTTGCTTTCTTATGCTGTCTACTTCTTTTCCTGATAAGTATTCTTATAGCACAATTCATCCATGGATTGTCCCGAGGTCTTATAGTTACCACATTGTTTGGGACATAAATATCACATATATTTCTCAAAACATCAGCAAAATGTGATGTAGTCCTAACACCAATTCCAAGATAATCTTTCATAAAATTACAATACATAATAGTTCAGATGGCTTTGTGTAAATGAATAATGACTTCAATTGTAGAATCTTTAAACCAGAAGTTATGCCTAATTACTGTGTAAATGGGTGTAATATTTTGTTTAACACACTGTCAACATGGCCTTAATTCAGAGAATGATTTATATTTCAAATCCTTTCATACTGGATCTGTGTCTAAAGCAATTTCCTTTTCCACTGCATCCCACAGCATCATTAGCTACGAGGATAGGTTGTTTACGTGAATGAAAGCTGTATGTTGACCATGTGATCAGGTCAATGCCAAAATTATTTGTTGAACGCTGATGGCAGTGCAAATTAAACTACTGAAAATAAGGAAATTCCGAAACTATAGGAAATTCTGAGAAATGACAATATTACAATTACAACTAACTTGATTTTGTTATTAGCTTCAGTTTTCATCAACACATGCTAGTTCTTAGTGCTTTGAGTCAGGGCAACTTCCAGTCTCCATAATTTGTGATATAAGAATTACATATAATAAGTACAGTCAGCTCTCGTTAATCCGACACTCATTAATCCGACAATCACGTTAATCCGACAAAAAATTAGGGAACCATTTAAAACAGTGATAATTACTCTCCTTAATCCGACATTCTCGCATTCCGACTCCGACACACCAATCTAGCAGCTTATTATTGTAAATACATTGTAAAAACATTCAGCTTCAAGCTATCTGAGGCCAAAACATCGTTGAACACTTTGCAAACATTTCTGACACACCACTTAGACGTGTTTGATGTTAATGACCATCAAAGACTTTTTCAAGTCATAAATTATATATGTTATGATACACGCCTGATTGTACATTAGACGTCCACATGTTATTATGGAATTAGTTGTATGGAAACCGTAACATATTCAACATCCGGGTCATAATGGCAGCTGATATGCGGTAAAAACAAACGTGAGTTTTGTGCCAATGTGGTCATGAAATAGATATGAAACTGTTCGCTTATGTGATTATATATGTATGTTATGCCATCTATGAATGTTAATAAATGAAAACAAGTATGTATTGTTAGTATTTTTTTGTATTTCTGTGAATATTTTTACATACGATGAAGATAACTAGATCTACCATGTCTGATATGCATGCAACAGTATGACGATCATGACATTTAGTAAACATTGTTATTTTCACGCAAATACATTAATCCGACATTTTCATTAATCCGACATTTTCGTTAATCCGACATATTTCTCTGCAACCACAAGTGTCGGATTAACGAGAGTTGACTGTAGGTTTAATGTCAACTTAGTTTAGGCATGACCTATCTGCCTATATTCCAACATCTGCCTGTGACGGCTACTGTTAGGCGCAACTACCGCAGCACTCCAAGCGGGCAAGGACTGTTTCCCATTAAGATGACTACTTTGTTACCAAACTCAAAGAGCTAACTTAAAGCCACCTAAAGTAAGAAACATCATGGTCCTTAAGGTCAGGTGAGCTAAAGGGAAATAACACCAAGCACTGTTGCACACAGGGGCTATCAAATGAGCTGAATGTTTTTGTGTATCTTAAGCCATGAAGAAAGAAGATGGTGTCTGTTTATTTGCAATTTGATTCCAATGTAACATACCAGAAACACACAAGGACATATTTGTGTTTGGGAAAAATAATGCAAAAGTATAAACATATCAGGCCAAAAAAATGTCTGGAACATGAAATATTTCATTTTTGAAAAATGATCACTTATGTTCACATATGCTTATCAAAAACACACATTTACAGGTCATTCATTTTCATGATTAGCCAGATGGTCCTTACCTGTAGTCAAGTGAATCAGTGCAGTGAACTGCAAAAGGGAGTTAACCACTTCACTTAAGGACAGTTTCCCACGTACATCTCCACTAAAAACATAAAAGATGGTAGTTTGGATTTGAATAAGATGAGTGTCCAGAGTTAAAATGGTGATTAAGAGTGCTGAGGCAGTGTAGCTCATCTGAGTGGTCAACAGTTTAAAATATACAAATACTAATCAATGTTGCTGTCAATGCTAATCAAATATTTTCTGCATAAATACTGAGGCCGAAAGTCCAAGCTACCTCAATGACCAGAGGTGGGAGCGGCAGGGGTGTGTTCAGGCAAGAGTTGTAAGAGAGGCCGGAAACTCCATTTACAGTTCGTTCCACTCAACAGTAAACAATAAGAGAGAGAGTACAAGACGTGAGACGGCATAAGGTAAACAATAAGAAACATGCATATAATTTCTACAGTGTTTCCAAATCCTTAAGAATGAACAAGCAGTGTCAGATAACTTCACAGAGCTATCAAATGCATTTGGGATAAACTACATGTATTACATTAAATTTATAACATTTCAAATAGAAATGTCCAAGCAATGGCCATGAATGGCTTGTTTGGGTTTGGATGATATAGCTGCCACAGTGGCCATTTTGAAAATCAGCTTTTAACCTGTTGAACTAATTCAGCTTTATTGGTCATGCTGTTCTGAAGAGATGAGGTTTACTATGCAAGGAAGTTCATTTTGAGAGACATGTGGGTGTTATCACTGGTGAGGACAAACAAGTGAAGTTTGAGTTTAATTAGTTCCTAGCCTCTTCGGGCCTACCAAAGAAAACTTTCCCATTGTGCAGAAAAACACACAAAAGCCCACATTAATTGTTGAAATAGCAACATAAACATAATACCTCGCTACTGAAAAAGTAAAAACAGCAACGAAAGAATATGAAACTGCAAAATTTTTATATCAGCAAACTTTGATCTCTACTGCGCATGCGCGTTACAATCCGAGCTTTTTAAATATTTACGAGCAACAGTGAATCGCCTCGCGCAGAAAAAGTTTGGAATATGTCAAAATAGTTGCTGTCAATCATTTCATACGAATGGAAAGTAATTCACTAACAAGAAGACAAAGTCATCAATATCCCCCCCAATGGCAAAATACTCTTCATGATTATGTCTACGAGGTATGATTATGTCAAATATTTAGGTGTGAAGGAGAGTATTGAAAGGTTTTTAAAATTCTGCTCCAGAAAGGAGCACTATCACCAATTCCAAAACTACCAAAAAGGAACCAGTACACCACTAGACTAATCTATGTGTCAAGTTTGGTGAAGAAATAGTGAACGGTTTTAGAATTTAGCTCCGGAAAAGTGCACTACCACCAATTTCAGGCTAAGTCAACTTGTTGCCATGGAAACGCCAAAAATATTTTATTCACAATTCCAAAACTACCAAAAGGCACCAGTACACCACCAGACCAATCTATGTGTCAAGTTTAGTGAAGAAATAGTGAACGGTTTTAGAGTTCACCTCCGGAAAAGGGCACAACCACCAATTTCAGGCTAAGTCAAATTTGTTGCCATGGTGCCATGGAAATGCCAAAAATATTTTATTCACAATTCCAAAACTACCAAAAGGCACCAGTATACCACCTGATCTATCTATGTACCAAGTTTGGTGAAGAAATAGTTAACGGTTTTACAGTTGCACCCTCTTCGTTTTTTTATCCAGTTTTAGCGGTTTAAAGTTGCCAGTTTTACTGTTTCAGTACCAAGGTATTATGTTTAAGTTTTCTTTGGTAGGCCTGCTCCTATAAGGGGAAATAATACTGAAATCATCTGTTGTGGATATTTCAGGATGCCACTGAGATATATGTACAAAACCTTGAGGCAGCTAACCATATGACATTAGGTTTGTTGAGTAACATAATAAGGTTTACAGAATGGTATAGAAGCTAACAGCGAAACAACTTAATTAGTTTTTAGTCTGGAATGATTGCACTGAACAGGTTTTCTGTGCACGTGGTGTCCAGAACACAATATTGCATCATCACGACAACGTGGTCTGACTGATTGGAGATATTCATGTGGAATGACAAGTGTTCTTCATCCCACATATAGGCACCACAAAACTAAAAATATGTCTACAGCATAATGAAGCTGATAAGGATGGCAGATAAAAAGGAAAAAATACCCCTTCATGAATTTAATTCATTTTTCGTCATCACTGGAACTGAATATTCATAGAAAGGAGTCTTTCAGTAAGAAGAGCTACACATTCTAATTGCATGTAGACAATACAGAAAACATTAATATTGTGCTAAATTGCAGAATAATCTGACGACTTATTTTATAACAATGAATGAAAGGAATTTGATAACAGAAGACGATTAAAGTACATACATATCTCTTGTGAGCTTGACATAAAACTTCTCCAGGTTTGTGGCAGCCACAGGGAATGGATGTCGTACTGCTAGACTCCGTATGTAGTAGAAAACAGTGGACAGCTTGTTGCCTCGAGCTGCTTCCAATATTGCTAGCTGGTTGTAGGGTTGTCCTGAATTAAAATATATCCTTCCATGAGCGTTATTGATTTTGGCAGTAATCCTATAAAATAATAACATTTAAACTACAAGACAACTATATCACCGACAATCACTGACAAATTATAGCTGGATATGAGTAGACTAAATAACAGTGAAAACAATAGTCAACATTCTTTAGTCCCACAAGGCTCTGTAGCTCACCTCAACTATGAAAAGCATATATATTTCAGACACTAAAGAACTCTCAGTGCAAAGAAATATGTCATCTTGTTAGAGGTGGTGTTTGACTTCCTGGAATCTTCAGTCAAAATATGAAACAATAGGATCATTACCAGCCAGTTTAGAGATGCGTGCTTGGAAGGGTGTTTTGACATGTATAATGAGGACTATTTCTACCTCAGTTGGAAGAATGACTTTCGCAGGTCACATAATTTATCAACTACAAGGAAACATTTGTTTTTGGTGATGCAGCATATAGATGACAAAATATCTGGAAGAATAAGAGACCAGAGGGTCAACAGAATAATTGGACCTGCATTAACCCACAAGAATTGAATCATCCTTTAGAAAACTTCAACCTCAGAACTGCCATGCATTCACTCAGTTCTGTAAGTAAATGAACAACTGAAACAAGTCCCTCATAGTCTAATCCAAGATGGTAAATAAAGGTGTAGTGTAAATGAGCTTGAAAGAAACTATTGGAGGTTACTCTGTCACATATGACTCATATCAGCTGCAATTATCAATGATCAGAATTATACCAACCATATGTACCATTTGAGGTGTTAGACTCAAGTATATGCAGCAAGAGAAGCTTCCAGGATTAAAACAATCAACCTGAGGTCCAAGTTAAACCTGAACTCATCTTCAAAGTAACTGTTTCTTCATCTCTCACTGCCCCACTACCACCTACAACTCCCCTTATTCTCTCTCCCCAGAGGAAAGTTAGGCGGTAAGGATAGACTGGACAAAAAAAGGGACCCCAAATCATGCAGGTCCTGAATTAGAATGTCTTTGGTCACATCCCTAGTTATAAGCTGTGAATGTGTTTGATGATGACTACTGGCAACCTGACATGATCTGTTCGATAGAGACTGTCCTCCGTGAAGCTAAGGATGATGCAATAGCTCTGATTATGTGAGGACGGACCATTTTAGAGCTCTTACTGGGCATTGCAGTATGTCGGGGTAGGTCACGGTCCAGTGTAGAAGCCAGCAAAGGGATAGTGAAAATTTGTTGTCCCAGAGGTTCCATTTGTAGGAAAACAGGGTTAAATTGTAGTGTTAGCAGGGGGGCAGGGGCTTCATAACGGGATATTCAAACAATACGTAACCACATATAGCACAACTGTCTACCAGATAGTCTTGTAACACATTGTTTCACTTGCTCTACTACGGGACAACTTTTTGACCGGGGTTACTGTTCATCGCCATGCTAGATACATTGGGTAGGCCATGTGGTTGGTGCTAAATACGTTGGGTAGGCTCTGATTGGCGGAGACGTCCGTCATCAGTAGATGAACTTTGACCCATGTCAGAAGTTGGGTTCCAGAGCACTATATAAGTGACCTGGCTCTCTGGATTCAGTGTCTAGCTTTCGGTAGTCCAAGCAAACGCCTCACCCAGCAGGCGGAACTCAGTCGAGTCCAAGCTACATGTCAGCTCCGTGGCTTGGGGAAGACACTGGGCAATGCATTGCCGAACCTCCCGTAGAGCCGACGGAAAACGGAAAGCACCCTCGGACTCCTCAATATCCATAGACTCGGCACCCGAGCCCGAGTCAGAATTCGGATCACCTCGTGAAGAGGAGCCGATCCCCGACCCGGTGGAAGGCCAAGCCACAGACGCCGTGGGAAGGGAAGAGCCCAAGGAACTCTAAGCTCCGGAAACCATCAGGACACTCGAACCCCGGTCCCAAGACATGGGAGGAAGCACAGACGGAGCCATCTCCTCCGCTCCGATGGGGTGGGGTGGCGCAGGGACCGGAACCCTTGGAATCCTCAACGGACCCTGCGCCAGCACTGAGAGAAGGACTGGGAGCGAACCCTCCCTCTCCGGGATAGCCGAGGCGTCCGGACCTGAAGCCAAAGGCAAGGGATCGACGGCTGCCTCAAGTCCAAGGGATCGAGCCAAGCTCAGCAATCCCATCCCCGGACTCTCGGTCCCCCATCCAGAGTGGGCGAGGTCTCCTGCCAGAGACCTCCAACCGACTCATGAACGAGGGACTTATGCGAAGTAGACTTAGATTTAGTTTGCTTAGCCTTTATAGCCTTGGACGGGGGAACCTCCTGGGTCAATTCCCCTCCCGACTCACGCAATTCCTTGTTAAAAAGGAAGTCAGCCGCCCGTCTCTTCTGGGCCCGAGGGGAAAAGCCCATACACAATTCACATGTCAGGGTTATGACCTGCTTTTTCCAGACAGCATAAGCATCTATCATGCTTATCTTGGTGAGGGATATTTTGCCCGCAGGCAGGACACCGCGTAAACACCTGAAAGCAAACACGCAAGCATGTAGCTAACGGCGCAACAAAACAGCATAAAGTTGCAAATTACATGAATGCGACAACGCGACATGAAATACTTGGTTAATAACGCAATATTTCAACCACGTGGCACGCTAAACTTCCCGCCATGGAATAGCAACACGTGCATAAACCACGGGAAAGCTAGCGTAAAATTTAATGCAAAGTCACATAAATGAGAAATGAGAACTGACTGCAAAGTCAATAAAACGTTTCTCAAGAACAAATAAAGACCATACATACAGTAGTTGAAGTCTCAGACATTCTTCCCGTAAAGAAGTTAATCAGCTTGGAACTCTATCAAACACGTCTCAACGCTAGAGTGACAGCAGAAGGAATGATGATATGGTTCCTTATCCTGGCTAGCATTTGTGAGAGAACATTGTCGGCATAAGCAGTCATTCCCCCCCAAGACGTCATCATGGCATCCACTGCATTGCATTAGGTCACAGAAAATCGTCCATAAAACCATGAATTCTTACGTGTTTGTAAATATGCTAGTCCTAGAGCTCTTACAAATCGCGAATAGTGACAGAGCCACTGATATCCCAAATGGTAGGACTCTGAACTGGACTACTCTCCCATTGACAACAAATCATAGATATTTTGTGATGGATAGGCATGTGTAGGTATATATCCTGCTGATCTATGGAGACCATAGAGTCCCCAATGGAAATCAAACCCGGTTGAGGGTCTTCAGATCGATAATCATTCTGTTGAATCCATTTTAGGAACCAGGAATACGAGAGAGTACAACCCTAGCCCTTGGTCCAAAGCAACGGCAACTTTCTTGCTCACAATTTTGCTATAAACTTGGGATCCTGGCCCTGTTAGTGAAGCCCTGTTGAGGTTTCTTGGCAGACTCAAAATAATATCTGCCATGTTGGCTAGTAAGGCGTGAGAGTCAAACATTGCCATACTATCTAGATAGCCATGAAGCATCTGTGTCATATCCCCAGTAATCTCCAATTTTACAGATGATGAGTCATACAAGTAGCAGGAAGGAGCATCTTCCTAATACCTGATGTGAACCAATAGTCTAGGCGCTGGATGTTATTGGTCAAAGTCTCTAATTCATCTCTCTTCGACAGTAAGGTGCTCCGGAATCTTGATCGCAAATCCTTGAAAACCTTTTGTCTAGGGAAGGCGAGTGTAAGGGTAAGGCTTTGCTAAACAAAGTCTGACACATACAAGTCTCTGAGCTTAAATGAGGAGCATCCTAGACTATCTGGATACTTGAGAGAGGCTAAGCCATCGTTCAAATCCTTCAAAATCATAAATCGAAAAGATGACTGTGGAAACTTGCGTTTCTGTCTAATATTGCAAAGTGGAGTGTCAAGCCTTTGTATTCTCTGCAGAAAATTCTTCTTGGTCTAGCATCGGCAGCATGGATTCCGTAAATAAAACATCAAGACCAGCTAACTCATCAGCAAAGGTGTATCTGGCCGAGTTACGTTCCCGAAGATTATAGACCATCCCAAAGATGCCAGTTCCGGTTCCTTGAAGGCATCTTGTCTATGGCTGTTTCATATGGTACAGGGCAAGTGCTAACCTGCACACCAACACCATGCTGCTGGCTGACCTCTGTACGGGCTGATGACTGTATTCCCTGTGACCCTGCGGTTTACACTGCTGGTGCCCTATCAGTGGGAACAACTACAAACTTTTCATGCAGGGCGGGCCACACTTTGGATTACATCTGGCTGGGACAGAACAGGTTTATTCCAATTCCGTTTCCTGTTTTTCAGTTACTTAACACATTCTGAAAGACGTTCTATTGGTTCTTCTTCTATTTTTGCTCATTTTGGGGCATATGCTTTGACAGAAATCATAACGATTTTTAAGCTCTAATCCTGTTTGGTAGGAGGCTGTGCACTATATTTAGGTCCATATCTAAATAGATGACGAAGGTTTTGTTGTCAACAGTGGAGAAGTCACTTGTCATTATATGTCCTACAGGTGTATCACAAAACAGTAAGTCTTGGCAGCCACGTGAATTCCTATAAGTGAAGAACCTGACGAAACTGTTTTCATATAGAAAACTGATTTTTGTCTCAGAAAGTATACATACCATTCTGTGGTACAAGATTGGCAGCGTGCCTGTAGAACGTTTGTGCTTGTTCAACTTGCTGTCGATACCGGGCTAAAACAAAATGAAATGCAATGACTTGAAACTTCCAAAACAATTGACACTACTATGTCCACATAATCTTAATGCAAAGTACATGGTCCAAGTCTGACGCTTTTAATAATCTCAACACCACTTTCATTATAGGCCACCAATATGTTGTGATGAGTGACTTTCTTAATATCAAGCAATATTTCCCATTTTATGAAAGATCATTTGAAAAAGAAGATAGCTTCAACATGTTAACTGCATGCTGACTCACCTCCATTTTAAAGATGAACAAACCATCACTGACATGTTAACTGCATGCTGACTCACCTCCATTTTAAAGATGAACAAACCATCACTGACATGTTAAATGCATGCTGACTCACCTCCATCTTAAAGATGAACAAACCATCACTGACATGTTAACCGCATGCTGACTCACCTCCATCTTAAAGATGAACAAACCATTACTGACATGTTAAATGCATGCTGACTCACCTCCATCTTAAAGATGAACAAACCATCACTGACATGTTAACTGCATGCTGACTCACCTCCATTTTAAAGATGAACAAACCATCACTGACATGTTAACTGCATGCTGACTCACCTCCATCTTAAAGATGAACAAACCATCACTGACATGTTAACTGCATGCTGACTCACTTGTATCTCAGAGATGCTTAAGGCCAAAAGGAATATGAGCGCTGACTCCTACCTATATCGCCCAGATGCACTAAACAGTGCTGACACACATATAGACAGGAACTCTTTTTAGGTGTGGTTATCTTGTTCTTCACGGAACACTTCTCTGAAATAATAGATCATTATCTTTAACCATGTGATGAACATTATTTTAGGAGCTCAGCTCATTTAAGGAAACTACCTCTTGACATAACTGCAGGAAACATGATCCTGCTTAGAGATACCTTCATACCATATTTCTGCTTGCGATGGTAGCTGCTCAAATTTCCAACAAAGATTCACTTTGGGGCAGACATCAGAATGTATAACAAACCAGAATCAAGTCTCATCAATGCTATATATATAACAACTTTTTTAAAGAAGAGCAAATGAACTTGTATCACCTAATTTTTACACAAAGAGTGGTGTTGCGTATAATAGTATATCCTTCCTTATTTCTGCTTTGTTTCATTACAAGTTACATGAAACAATGAACATTACGTAAAACAAACCCCTCAATGTGAATCATATACACGTGTAAAGATGAGAAAGTGCTATCCAGCTGATCTGTAACAGATAGCTAGGAAGCACAGCAGACAACATCCTGTGATGTGATGTTTAATGTTTGAAGCATTTATATGTTGTTTTTTAGTGTAGTGCATAATAGTGATGATACGTTTGCAACTGAGAACATTAGAAATCATGTACAAGCATGGAGACTGAGGAGACTAGAGTATGGTTTCGGCCGAGACAACTACCACTATCTGTTTTGGTTTTGTGAAATGGTGTTACGACCCTGGAGCTCAACAAGAAAACAATGCAAATACTTGAGAATGAAGAGTTGTGTGGTATTTATTTATTGTCGCTTGAAAATATGATGTTAACACAACAAAATTTACTACTCAATGCCAAAAGGGTTTAATGTTACAGCACATGCACAGATGGATATTAGAGATAATAATTTGACTAAACTTGATATTTGATTCAAAAGGCGTCCTCATTCCTCCTCTATTTCCAGGAGCCTGGTCTGTGATGAGTTAAACAATGTTTCTAAGAATTTGATCACTGTGGACAGGGTAAAGTCTGACTTTGTCAGACAGACTAAGAACCCAAGTACTTTTTAGTTTCTTTCAAGAACTATAGTACCGATGTCTGCAGCTATGAAATTGATGATACACCCATGAAGTCTGATGTTAAAGTGAGTGATTGAGTTTTAGGTTTACACTGCTTTTAGCAATATTCCAGCAATATCACTGCTGATGTTTAAGGTGGGGCATTATGCCAGAATATTTCATCTCAAGATGGTGAATGATAAAAAACAATAATAAAAATGGCTATCAATAAAGTGCCTGTATCCACATACTCATCTATGCTCAAGGCACTAACACATATTACCCCGGATACCCCAAGCAGCCCATGAGACGCTAGAAGGTTAACAGTCACATGACTTATCCCAACAAGTACCCATTCACTGCTGGGTGAACAGAGGCAATTACCGGTATTACCAAATTCACTTGCCCAGGGTGAGACCGGTGTGTGGACAATTCCCTATCAGGACAATTCCCCACTAGGACAATTCCCCACATGACATTTCCCCACACCTGTTTTGTAACCAGTAGGGCAATCTTGACTATGATAAGGTTTATGTTCATGATGGAGGTGATAGAAAGTAACAAGACAGGAAAGAAGATGTGCCTTGATGGTCGCATGTGCACTGTTGCCAGCAAGAGAAGAAACAAGACTTGGTGGAAATGTAGTAAGCGTGCTAAGTCAGACTAACATGCTAGCCTAAGCACATCTTTAGACGTAGAAGATCCAGTTGTGCACAAGCCACACAATCACCCTCCTAAGGAGACAGCAATATCCTACGCAAAGCTGAGAAACTCGATGAAACAACAAGCCACCAGTTCCTTAGACAAGCCTGCCCAGATCCTAGCCACTGCAGTGTCTGGTACCAAAGATGAAGTGAAGATGATGCTGCCCCAACTCAAGAACACCAAGCGCAGTCTCAGGTACCACAGGAGAGGTTGCGAAAAAAAGTCCTCGGAAAAAAAGAGCCAGAAAAAAGTCCTAAATTTGCCTAGAAAAAAAAGTCCTATTACAATAGAACTTTTTTTCCGGAGTACTTTTTCCCAAGGACTTTTTTCCCAAGGACTTTTTTCCTTACAATCACAAGAGAAGTACACACGTCCCCAAACGCCTCAGGTGAGGTGAGGTGAAATTGGGTTTAACATCGTGCTAGAGAATATTTCGCTCATATGACCGCGTGCATGCGTGTGAATGTGTATGTGCGGCTGCTTGTACTAGCCCAGACTTAAGCTGGTTTTATAGTGGTAGCCCACTGAGATACCATGCCGCAGTGAAGCGTGAATACCCCACTCAGACACAGTATACTGACTCCGAGCCGACTAGTCCTTGTTGTACACAATAATGCCGAGTGCCAGGCAGGGACCAACAAGTACCATATTTTAAAGTCTTTTGGTATGACGCGGTCGGGGATCGAACCCGCGACCTTCCGCTCTCCGGGCAGACGCTCTAACCACTACACCACGGAGGCGGTCCCAAATGCCTCAGCGTGGATGGGAACTTTGCTATGTCTCCAACATTGTTCCAACAAATATATGTAGTTAGGTTTCAGGATACTTTCGTGTCTTGTGTGTATGCCATCTTGCAGAGAAAAACTCGCACTTCCTATCAGATATTGTTTCAGCTTCCCTCTGTGGCACTTGTCTCTGTCACACATCACTGATTTCAAGCCACAGAGGGGAATTGAGTAGAGGCCACGTGCCACAGAGGTACTAGTCACCACTTTCAATTAACAAAGTGTAAATAGCTCAAGTAAAACGCAAATATTATGGATGACAACTTATTCTTTATTGTATATCACAACGTTTCTGGGCTATTCCTTGACCCTTCGTCAGGTGAATTGTAACAAACAAGATACATCAATGAGTATATATACTAAATGTACAAGAAGCCAGTGTTGCATGTATATACAATAAATTGGATAAGAAACGGGAGCTGAAAGTGTGAGATGTACAGATGATGGGCATTGTTTATACAAGGGAAGAGTTTATACAAGTGATTAGCAGATGTGGGTAGAAGCCAGTAATGAGCAAATTGACTTCCCAGGCACTGGGGAGGTACACTCTTTGATTCTGTAATTGTCTTATCGTTAAAGGCTCTAATAGTTTGCGCTTGCACCAATCATGGACATTAGTGGTTAATATGATTGTTGCCAGTCAATGGAGTGAGTAGGGTTTTTGACCATATGCTCTGAGAGAGCTGATTTTTGGTCCATTTGGTCGTATGTCAAATGGGCGGGATGTTTCACCTATGTATGTGGAGCCACAATCACAGTGCAGTTTGTATATGCATCCCCTGGGTCTATTTGGGGTCTTAGTAGAGGAAACTCATCCATTGGCTTTCAGGATGGTTTTCAGGGTCTTATTAGAGTGGAATGTCACGTCGATGCTGGTAGTTTTCTTTATGGAGACGGCTGATGTGGTGACTGATCTGGCCATGGTCGGGAATGTCGATTCTGATAGGAGAAGGTTCAGGTTTGGGAGGGCGTTCATCTTGTTGCTGCTGGAGAGTTGAGGCTGTGGTTCTTTCTACTAGATGTTTGGGGTAGCCGTTGACAAATGTTGCTCTGAGGTGGTTTATTTCAGCTGGGAGATGGACTGGGTCACAGATGGATTTGGCTTGTCTAGTCAAGGTTGCTACTATGGCTCGTTTGATCTGAGGATGATTGTTGGAGAGGTAGTGGATGTATTGATTTGTATGGGTGGGTTTCCGGTAGACTGTAGGGGTGATCTTGTCGGGAGAGTTCTTAAGGTACACATCACCAACTTCTAAATGCCTCTCAAGAACCTAAATAGCTGAAGTTTATTAGTGCTTAAACTAACTAGGTGTTAACGGGGTATAATTAATTAATTGTTAAATCACGACTGATGGTATTGTGGTAATCTCTTCTGCTCGCCTGCCAATCACAACTGATGATATCAAGCTATAAGGTGATAGGCGCATGTCAAAGACTGGTGACGACTTTATCCTATGTGATGATGTTCGTGGCGACAGTCGCATCGTTGTGTTTGAAACTGATGAAAACCTCAAGAAACTATGTAGCATTTCACCTGTATAATGGATGGAACATTCAAAATTTGCCCAAGACTGTTTTACCAATTGTATATATATAATCCACTTACACATGCCTCATTGATCTATACCTGAACTATTCTGTTTGCTCCCTGACAAGAGTGAGTGAGTCAGTGAGTTTAGTTTTACACCAGAAATAATCGAGTCTGGACCAGGCAATCCAATGATCAACAGCAAGAGCATCGATCTGCGCAATTGGGAACCGATGACTTGTGTCAACCAAGTCAGCGAGCCTGACCACCCGATCCCGTTAGTCGCCTCTTACGACAAGCATAGTCGCCTTTCATGGCAAGCATGGGTTGCTAAAGACCGATTCTACCCCGGATCATCACGGGTCTCCCTGACAAGAAAGGTTTCACCTACCAAAGACTTATCCAGCTTCTTCAGACGAAATGTGAGACTCTTGGACTTACATTCTCACCTGGAGTTGGGATTTCTTATGTATTTTCGTAACCTCTCATATAATGCTATCAAGGTCAATCAAATACCGTGTTAAAGACCTAGCACCTTATCAGTCATGGCTTACTGCACACAAGTGCCACTCAGGGACACAAAATGACACAGCGGGAAATTTCAACTAGATCAATTAAAATCTCATAGGCCACAGAGGGAAGTACCACAGAGGTACTAAACCGTTTCAGGCCATTGTAGATAAGCTGAATGAGTTGAATGTTGACATGAATGTTGAGATTGTTGTCACTGATTTTGAAGATGCTGTGTTGTGTGCTGTAAATGCTGTGTTTGGTGGACATGTACAGAGTAAAGGGTGTTTCTATCGCTTAACCCAAAGTACATGGAGAAAGGTACAGAGTCTTGGCTTAGTTCAGGCATATCATGATGATCCCGACTTCAGATTGTTCTGTGGCAAGCTTGATGCTCTGGCCTTTCTTCCAGTTGATGACGTGAGAGAGGGTATGGATCATCTGAAAGATATTGTCCCTGAAGATGCCAAAGAACTGCTCACCTACT